CTATGAAACTATAAGTCAACCATCAGAAAAAATATGAAAAGACCACATATGCATAGAGCTTTAATAACATGCTACTAAACAATGAATGAGTCAACCAGGAAATAAAAGAAGAAATTAAAAAGTACATGGAAACAAATGAAAACACAACATTTCAAAACCTTTTGGATATAGCAAAAGCAGTCCTAAGAAGGAAGTTTTTAGCAATGCAGGCCTACCTCAAGGAGCAAGTAAAATCTCATATAAACAACATAACTTTCACCTAAAAACTAGAGCAGAAATAAATGATATAGAAACTAAAAAAAAAAAAAAAAAACACCAGAACAGATCAATGAAACCAGGAACTGGTTCTTTGAAAAAAATCAATAAAATTGATAAACCTCTAGCCAGCCTCTTCAAGAAAAAGAGAAAGGACTCAGATGAAATCACAAATGAGAGAGGAGAAATAACAAACACCAGAGAAATACAAACAATTATAAGAGAATATTATGAAAAACGGTATGCCAACAAATTGGACAACCTAGAAGAAATGGGTAAATTCCTAGAAACATATAATCTACCCACACTGAAATGTGATGAAATAGAAACTTTAAACAGACTGATTACCAGCAAAGACATTGAATCAGTAATCAAAAACTCCCAACAAAGAAAAGTTCAGGACCAGATGGCTTCACAGGCAAATTCTACCAAACATTTAAAAAAGAGTTAATGCCTATCCTTCGCAGATTATTCCAGAAAATAAAAGAGGAAGGAAAACTTCCAAATTCATTCTATGAGGCCAGCATTACCCTGATACCAAAATCAGAAAAAGACACCTATCCTCAACAAAGTACCAGCAAACCTAATCCAGCAATACATTAAAAAAAGCATTCACCAAGATCAGGTGGGATTTATTCCTGGGTTTCATGGGTTCCAATATTTGCATATCAATCAACACAATACATCATATCAATAAAAGACAGGACAAGAACTGTAGGATAATGTCAATAGATGCAGAAAAAGCATTTGACAAAGTACAACATCCATTCATGATAAAAATCTTCAACAAAGTAGATTTAAAAGAAACATACCTCAACATAATAAAGGCTACATGTGAAAAACTAACAGCTAACATCATTCTCAATGCGAAAAAATAGAGCCTTTTAGCGAAGGTCAGGAACAAGACAAAGATGTCCCCTCTCACCACTTATATTCAAAGCTCTAGTCACAGCAATCAGACAACAAAAAGAAATAAAGGCATCCCAATCAGTAAGGAAGACATAAAACTTGCATTATTTGGAGGTGACATGATATATAGTTAGAAAACTCAAAAGACCCCAGCAAAAAACTGCTAGAACCAATAAATGAATTTAGTAAAGTCGCAGGATACAAAATCAACGTACAGAAATCTGTTGCATTTCCATACACCAATAAGGAAGTAGCAGAAAGAGAAATTAAGAAACCAGTCCCATTGGGGCACCTGGGTGGCTCAGTCAGTTGGGCGTCCAACTTCGGCTCAGGTCATGATCTTGCAGCTCATGAGTTGGAGCCCTGCGTCCGGCTCTGTGCTGACGGCTCGGAGCCTGGACCCTGCTTTGGATTCTGTATCTCCCTCTCTCTCAAATATAAACAGAAAGGAAGGAAGGGAGGGAGGGAGGGAGGGAGGGAGGGAGGGAAGAAGGAAGGAAGGAAGGAAGGAAGGAAGGAAGGAAGGAAGGAAGGAAGGAAAGGAAAGGAAGGAAGGAAGGAAAAGGAAACAGTCCCATTGGAGTGCCTGGGTGTATCAGTCGGTTAAGTGTCTGACTCTTGGTTTTGGCTCAGATGGTGATCTCGCAGCTTTGTGGATTTGAGCCTCGCATCAGGGTCTGCAGTGGCAGTGCAGAGCCTGCTTGGGATTCTCTCTCCTCTCCCTCTGCCTCTCCCCTACTTACGCTGTCTTTGTGTTTCTCAAAATGGATGAATAAACTCGGAAGGAAGGAAAGAAGTAAACGAAACAATCCCATTTACAATTGCACCAAAAAGGGGCACCTGGGTGCTTAAGCTCAGGTCATGATCTCACAGTTCATGAGTTCAAGCCCTGCATTGGGCTCTGTGCTGACAGCTCGCATCCTGTGTCACAGCTCTCTGCCCCTCCCCCGCTCACACTCTCCCCCCCCCCCCAAAATAAATAAGCATTTTTTAAAAGTAAAAAAAACAATTGCACCAAAAATAATAAGATACCCAGGAAACCTAATCAAAGAGCGAGAGACCTGTACTCTGAAAACTGTAAAACACTAATAAAAGAAATTAAAGACAGTACAAAAAAATGGAAAGACATTCTATGCTCATGGATTGGAAGAACAACTATTGTTAAAATGTCTGTACTACGCAAAGCAGTCTCCATATTTAATGCAATTCCTGTCACAATACCAACAGCATTTTTTCACAGAACAAACAATCCTAAAATTTGTGTGGAACAACAAAAGACCCTGAATAGCCAAAGCAGTCTTGCAAAAGAAAAACAACTGGAGACATCACAGTTCTGGACTTCAAATTATTTCAAAGCTATAGTGATCAAAACAGTATGGTACCAGCACAAAAATAGACTCATAGATCAGTGGAACACAATAGGTGGCCTAGAAATAAACCCATAATTATATGGCCAATTAATTTTGACAAAGCAAGAAAGAATATCCAGTGGGGAAAAGACAGCCTCTTCGATAAGATTGTGCTGAGAAAACTAGACAGCAACATGCAAAAGAATGAACCTAGACCACTTACACCATACACAAAAGTAAACTCAATAAAGACCTACAGCCATAAAAATCCTTGAAGAGAGCACAGGTAGTAATTTCTCTGACTGGCCGTCACAACTTTTTTCTAGATAGGATCCCTGAGGCAAGGGAAACAAAAGCAAAAATAAACTGTTGGGACTACATCAAAATAAAAACTTCTGCACAGTGAAAGAAACAATCAACAGAACTAAAAAGCAACCTACAGAATGGGGGAAGATATTTGCAAGTGACATACCCAATAAAGAGTTAGTATCCAAAATATATAAAGAACTTATAAAACTGAGCCCCTCTCCCAAAAAAACCCAAATAATCCAGTTAAAAATGGACAGAAAGGGGTGCCTGGGTGGCTCAGTCCATTAAGAGTCTGACTCTTGATTTCAACTCAGGTCATGATCTCACAGTTTGTGGGTTCAAGATCCATATCAGAGCCTGCTTGGGATTCTCTGTCTCCTTCTGTCTCTCTCCCTCTCTCAATCTCTCTCTCTCAAAATAAATAAATAAAAACATTTTTTTTTAAATGGGCAGAAGACATGAACAGACATTTCTGCAAGGAAGACATCCAAATGGCCAAAAGACACATGAAAAGATGCTCATCAGGAGTGCCTGGGTGACTCAGTTGGTTAAGATTCAGCTCAGGTCATGATCTCATGGTACAGAGATCTCTGCTGATAGCATGGAGCCTGCTTGGGATTCTTTCTGTCTCCCCCTGTCTCTCTCCCCTGATTGTGTGCACACACGGTCTCTCTCTCAAATAAATAAACTTTTAAAAAATTAACCAATTTTTTAAAAATGCTCATCATTGCTTATCATCAGGGAAATGCAATTCAAATTACAATGATATATCACCTCACATCTGTCAGAATGGCTAAAATCAAAAACACAAAACAGGTGTTGGCAAGGATGTGGAGAAAAGGAACCCTCTTGCACTCTTGGTAGGAATGCAAACTGGTGCAGCCACTCTGGAAAACTGTATGGAGGTTCCTCAAAAAGTTAAAAATAGAACCACTCTATGATGCAGCAATTGCACTCCTGGATATTTACCCAAAGAATACAGAAACACTAATTCAAAGGGATATGTGCACCCCTATGTTTATAGGCACATTATTTACAGTAGACAAGATATGGAAGCAGTCCCAAGTGTCCATTGATTGGTGAATAAAGAAGAGTAGTATGTATATATATGTATAATGTGTGTATACACACACACATACACGATGGAATGTTACTCAGCCATAAAAAAAAGAATGAAATCTTGCCATTTGCAAAGGCATGGATGGAACTAGAAGGTATAATGCTAAGCAAAGCAAGTCAGTTGGAGAAAGGTAGATACCATGTAATTTCACTCATGTGAAATTTAAGAAATGAAACAAATGAGCAAAAGGGAGATAAAAAAGACAAACCAAGAAAGAGACTCTAACTGTAGAGAACAAACTGAGGGTTACCAGAGGGGAGGTGGGTAGGAGGAGAGGGTGAAATAGGTGATTAAGGAGTGCATTTGTGATGAGTACGGGGTGATGAAAATAAAAACTTAAAAAGTAAATAAATAAAAGTAAAACACACACAGGAAAAAAAACAAATTTTGGTAAAGATGTGAAAATTTGGAACATTTTTACATTACCAGTGGGATTGTGAAATGTTTCAGCCACTGTGGAAAATAGCTTGGAGGTTTCTGAAAAACTTAAACAGAATTAACATGTGCCCTAGCAATTCTACTCCTAGGTGTATGAGCAGAAGAATTAGAAACAGGTACTCAAACAAATACTTGTACACAAATGTTCACAGAAGCGGTATTCACAGTAGCCAAAAGATGCAAACAACCCATATGTCCATCAACGGATGAATGCATAGACAAAAGGGTGTGTGTGTATATGTGTGCACAGGCATACATGCTTACACGCGTGCCTTTCAGTAAAGGTTTGAAAGGAAATTAATAAAAAGACAAAGGGTGCTGGTTAGAGCCAAAAAACAAAAAGACAAGGGCGCCTGGGTGGCTCAGTCGGTTAAGTGTCCATCTTTAGCCCAAGTCATGATCTCGCAGTCTGTGAGTTCGAACGCCTCATCGGGCTCTGTTCCACAGCTCAGAGCCTGAAGCCTGCTCCAGATTCTGTGTCTCTCTGCCCTCCCCCTGCTCGCACTCTGTCTCTCTCTCTCAAAAATAAACATTAAAAAAAAAAAAAGACAAATCCCTCTTTTAAGTGAATGAGCCTCACTAGAGATCCCATACTCTTCTCTTGTTATGTTTTGTTTTAGCTTCGTGGGGAAAATGTAGTGCCAACAATTTATTCATCAGCATTTGCGTGTGTATGTACGTAAATAAGTATGCTTTAAATTTAATTAATTCATTCAGCAGATACTTATGGAGTATTTGCTGTGGTGCCAGGTACTGTTCTAGGTTCTAAAGACACAGTGGTGAGCAACCCAGACTTGCCGTGTGTCGCTGTCCTCAGTGTACACTCCAGTTGAAAGACAAGAAACAAACATGCTGTAAAGTCAGCTGGAATTCAATGCTCTCGAGAAAAATGAAGCAGTGGAAGGGATAAAGTAGCGCCAGTGCTCAGTTAGGCAGGGTGATCAGAAAGGCCTAAGGATGAAACTTTTGAGAGAAGATCAGAATGAGAAAAGGAGCAAGCCCTGAAGCTGTTTCCATTATCATCCTTCTCACTTATCCTCCATTGGGCTCTTCTATGGTGAGTTCATTGCCTTGTATTTAGAGAAATGTTATTAAAAACATTCCTTCCCACGTTGCCTTCACTCTTAGAACATAGCAACTCCAGAGAAATTCGTTTCTAGCTATGGTATCATATAGTCCTATCCCTGTGCATCTGATTTGTTTTTATCCCACAGGCATGGGAAATAGAGCTGATGTTTTCCTTTTTCACACTGGCTGCTAGAAAACTCAGTTATATTTGTGGTCTATCCACAGTTGCTATTGTCATCAGGAAGGTCATTATGGTATACATTACTATTTTGTTGAGCTCCATTCCCCTTAAGGCTTGCTTTTTTTTTTTTTTTAACTCTACCATGAATTTATGCTATCTTGTTGTATTTTGTGCATCCGTGTAAGCTAATCTAAATCTTTTTTGGCATGGGGTATAGTGGTGAATTTTAAGCATATATATTTATAAAAGTAGAAAACACACACATGCACTGTGGCTACTACAGAGAAATAATTTAAGTACTTATACTATATGTGACTCTTAAACTTATAGTATAAGTACTTATACTATATGTGACTCTGAACTTGGGGCAGTTTTGTCCCTCAGGGGATATTTAGCAATACCTTATTGTCACAGTTGGGGAGTGCTGCTGGCATCCTACTTTGAACAGGACAATCCCCCCACCTCCCAACATACAGTTATCTAGTCCAAAATGTCAGCAATAGTGCAGAGGCTGAGAAACCTTGCTGTGGACTGGACCATTCAATCCATTATTTCATATATTTCTGGGCTATTTTGTTACAGAAATGGCAAAATGTGTTCCCGTGTCGCTTATTGTAGCATACAGCGTGTATTCTGAGTGTGATAGTTGGGTGCCCTTTCCACTAAATCTGTCATCAGTCACATAGTCCTAAAAGCAATAGTTTCCTCTTCAGAATCTATATTATCATGCTCACAAAGTCACAACTTCAGGTCAACAAAATTGGGGAGAAGGGTGCTTTTCACCTGAGCTCCAGTATTTTGAATGTTTGAGTAAGCAACAGTTAAAATGAGACTGTTCTTTTCATTCTCCATTCTGTCTGCAGGCTTTCATAGAGACCATGTTCGCCAGCAAAGCTCCTGTGGAGGAAGGCTTTCTCTATGCTAAGGTGAGCTTTAAAAGATTGGGAAGGTTTTGGGGTGCCTGGGTGGCTCAGTCGGTTAAGCGTCCGACTTCAGCTCAGGTCATGATCTCACAGTTCGTGAGTTCCAGCCCTGCGTTCATGCCCTGCGTCAGGCTCTGTGCTGACAGCTTGAAGCTTGGAGACTGCTTCGGATTCTGTCTCTGTCTCTCTGCCCCTCCCCTCCTCGCTCTCTGTCTCTCTGTCTCTCTGTCTCTCTCTCTCAAATATAAAAAATAAAAAATAAAACATTAAAAAAATTTGTTGGAGGCAAAAATATTAAGTAGTTCATTAGCAGATGGCTTCTAGTTGGCTTTCATGGGAGTGACCGGGATATCAGTGGAGAGGACTTGGTTCTTAAACGTCACTGATAATGTATTAGATGTATCTGAAATACTCAGAGCTACAATTAAATGAAGAAAATTGCAAAGTAGAACACATGAAGAAGCAAAGACACGATTGTGTCTCCTCTCACAGGAGGAGAATCTGAGTAGTATTGGAGACAGCTCCATGGATGGGCATGCTCCATCCTAGGACAAAGTGAAATTGGTAGAATTTACCATTTGCCAGGCATCCTTTTTCACTTTTCCAGCACATGTAGGTTGGTAGCTATTTGAAAAGTTGAAATTAGTAATGCAGAAGTGTTGTTAATGCAAGCCGTATTCCAGTGTTTATCTAAATAAGAATAAAAAATAGTGGGGCACCTGGATGGCTCAGTTGGTTAAGCGTCCAACTTCGGCTCTGGTCATGATCTCACAGCTCGTGAGTTCAAATTCCGCGTCGGGTTCTGCTGACAGCTCAGAGCCTGGAGCCTTCTTTGGGTTCTGTGTCTTCTTCTCTCTCTGCCCCTCACCCACTTGCTCTCTCTCTCTCTCTCTCTCTCTCTCTCAAAAATCAACATTTTAAAAAAAGAATAAAAGATAGAAATTTTACTTGACTGTATCTCTGTACTCAGCCTTGATTGTAAGTTTTCTGTGTTCTCTTCTGGACTTAATTTGAAAATCTTAGGAAATTTGGAGCACTCAGAGGAACCAAGCAGACATACTAATAGGGTCAAATAACAGGACTGGAGTGGGGAATAAAAAATAGACTGAAATGGAAGCATAAGAAGTTTGGTTAGATTTGATAACTCGTTTTCCAGAAATGACAGAGAAGTACTTGAATGGAGGGACGGACTGTCGAGGAGAGCCCTGGCTGGCACAGCCCGGAGGAAATCCTGTCTTCAGTCATACTTGTCGTCATGCTTGGCTCTTGTTTTTCAGTTCGAATTTGAATGCCGGGCCCGCGGTGCAGATATCTTAGCCTACCCGCCTGTGGTCGCTGGAGGTAATCGGTCCAACACTTTGCACTATGTGAAGAATAATCAGCTCATCAAGGTACATGAAATGCCCTTCAGTGCCGCTTCCTATGGTGCCACTTACAAACCACTTTATTGTTTATAAAATGATTTTACAGACATTATCTCATTTGATCCTCATGTTAGTACTTTGAGATAGGAGCAACTATTGACATACCTGTTTAATAGATGTGGAAAATAAACTTAAAAAATTAGGCAACTCGTTAGGGCAGAGCCAAGAATTCTACTCTAAAGCCTTTGCTCATCTCTTTCTGAAAGGACTTGTGGCAACAGTGGATCAAGCATATTTTGGGAGCAGACAGATTTTAAGAGTACCTTATTAGCTATGAGGGAACCTACCTTTTATGGTTTTCTCCCCAAGTGACTATACAAGTAAAGATTGTATATACCTTTATTAAGTCCACTTTCAATTTTATTTTATTTTAATTTTCAGTAATTTCAAAAGAATAAATATAGCATACATGTAAAGTATACAGCATATTTTTTAAATGAATACCCATGAACCAATCACTCAGCTCAAGAGCTAGAACATTACCAATACTGTATGTATCTTTATGCTCTGCTATCCTAATGCCTCCCTCCCAGAGGTAACTAATTGGCACCCTAAATTTTTGTTCATCATTCCCTTGATTTTTTTAATGTAGTTGTATCACACATACATGATTTCCCAAACAATATTAGTTAGTTCTACTTGTTTGTGAACTATATAAAAATTATATACTGCTATATGTAGTTTTGGGGAACTTTTTTTCTTATTCATAAGTGTGATAATACAAATTTTTTCCCAAGTATTTGTACCTATTTATACTCCTACTGGTGGTGTGTAATTCTGTTTACCACATCCTCTTATCCTTTGATGCTATCAGACTTCTTAACTTCTGCCATTCTAATTGGTATAAAACAGCATCTCGTTGTGGTCTTAATTTCCATTACCTTAATTACCAGTGGAATTAAGCTTTTTTTTTTCTGTTTTAATCTGTAGCACTGCTATTTTCAACTTGCTGATGTGTTGTTTGGGATATAATAATCTATGTTCATGGATGAAATTGGCTTATTTTTCTCATACTATCTTTTTCTGATTTGTATATCAAATGAGTTAGGTTGTTTTTAATATTATGAAATGATTTAATGTGTTTTTTTTTTTTTAATTGAGTAGAATATCCCTGTAGACCTATTTGGGCCTGATATTTTCCTTTGTAGACTTTTTGAACTACCGATTCAATTTCATTAATATACTAAAGCTTTCTGTTTTATTTTTTAACAAACATTTATTCTTATAAAATGTAACTACTGGTAAAGTACTTAAAACTTAAAGGAAAAGTTTAATATTAATTACAAAATGAACACCCACGTAACCATTGTCCATACTTGGCAAGCTACACCTCTCTAGGCCAATCCAGCCTGCTCCTTTGTTTTGTGAATAAAGTTTTGTTGGAATACAGCCATTCCTGCTTTCTTCCCACAGTGGCAGAGTTGAATAGTTGCATCAGAAACAGTATGGTCCACAAAGTAAAAAATATTTACTACTTAGCCCTTTACAGAAAAAGTTTGTGAATGCCTGAATCAGGACATTACTAGCCTTCCACCCCTAAAAAGCTTTTCCACCATGTGGTTCTTCCCAATGATAATTTCTTCCCTCCCTGATGGGATAACCACCACCCTGATGTTGATGGTCATCAATTCCTTGCTTTTCATTTTATTTTACTACTAATGAATAATAGAGTTTAACGTAGTTTGGTTTTGGTTATATTTGAACTTTATAGATTTCAAATATTATATCTGCATCTTTTTCGTATAACAGTATGTTGTTGCATGCTACTGTGGTTTGTTCTAGTGTGGAACAGCAGTTAAAGTGTGGTCCATGAGGTTAAATATATTTTCATAAGAATACCCAGACATTATGCGTCTCTTTCACTCTCGTTCTCTTCAGCGCACAGAGATGGACCCTAGAGGCTTTATGACATCAACATCATACCAAATTGAAGGCAAAAGCAGATATGAGATTCTAGCTGTTTTTTGTTTTGCTAGACAAAGAGATTTGTAAAAATGTACACTACATTTCTAACTATTTTTATTTAGAAAAATAGTTACTTTTCATTAAAAATGCTGTTTATCTTAAATGTAATAGGTTTATTGTTATTTTTAAATGAATTAATAAATATTATAAAGTTTTCTGTTTTAATTTATTAATATGATAAATATCTATTAGGTGGACATTTCTGTTATTTCCAGGTTTTTACCATTATGAACAATATTCTGTGAACATTCTTGTACGTATTCCTAGTATATGAGTCATCAAGTTTGTCTAAGGACACTTAATTAGTGGAATTGATGGGTCATAGGTATGCATATTTGTAACTTTAGTAGAAAATGCCAGACATTTCCAAAGTGATTATATCAGTTTATACTTCATTTTGCCTGAGACAGTTTGGTAGGTTATAATTTTATACCATTATGTCTAAGTTTTTAAAATTACTCATAGTATTGTCTTACCTTTTAATCTTTTGTAATTACAGTTATGTACCTTTTTACATTCTTGATATATTTTTGCCTCTTCTCATTTTTTTCTAATAAATCTTAGTAGTTTCTTTAAAACATAAACATGCGCCAGCAATTCCATTTATGGGTATTTTTCCAAAAAAATTGAAACGTAGGTCCACAAAATGCCTTGTACAAGAATGAATGTTTTTTTTTTGTTTTGTTTTTTTAACGTTTATTTATTTTTGGGACACAGAGAGACAGAGCATGAACGGGGGAGGGGCAGAGAGAGAGGGAGACACAGAATCAGAAACAGGCTCCAGGCTCTGAGCCATCAGCCCAGAGCCCGACGCGGGGCTCGAACTCACGGACCGCGAGATCGTGACCTGGCTGAAGTCGGACGCTTAACCGACTGTGCCACCCAGGCGCCCCAAGAATGAATGTTTATAGCAAGTTTGCTCCTGATAGACCAGGCGTCTCTTACCAGGATATTAAGTAAGGAAATTGCTATGTGGTGTATTCTTAAAATGAAAAGGAACAAACCACTGTACTACCAACAGATAAATGATCTCAAAGCATTGTGCTGACTGAATAAGTCAGACACAAAAATTAGACGCTCTATGATCCCGTCTGTATGAAGTTCTGAAATAGGCAAAACCACTCTGTATTGATAGAAATCAGATCAGTGGTTGCTTCGGATGGAATATTGACTGGGAAGGCACCTGAGGGAGTGGTTACATGGGTTTTGACAAAACTGACCTAACTCTATATACTTAAAAATCTGTGCATTTTACCGTGTACATCATACCTAGAGAACTTCGACTAAAAAAGGAAATCCCAATAAAAAAAGAGGTTTGTTCAGTTTTGTTACTCTTGTAAAACCAACTTTTCATCATTAATGCTATTTTATCTTTGTTTATTATTTCATTACACTGGCCCCTTGCCTTTATTAATTTCACCCTTCTCCTTTTTGTGTTTATTCTCTTGTTTTTTTCTTGTTCTTAAATTAGATACTGAACTCATTAATTTTCATCCTTCTTTTCTTTATTATAAGTGTTTAAGGATAGATTTTTCACTTTCATTATAGTCCATAAGGTTTGCCTAAGTTGTTAAATGTATATCAAAAACAATAAATAGGGGTGTCTGCGTGGCTCAGTCGGTTAAGTATCTGACTCTTGGTTTCAGCTCAGGTCATGATCTCACGGTTTGTGAGTTCGAGCCCCACGTCAAGGCTCTACTAGTGCAGAGCCTGCTTGGGCTCTGCCTCTCCCCTGCTTGCTCACTCTCTCTCAAAATAAACTTTAAAAAACACACAATAAATATCATGTACTGCTTACAAATAATTATCAAATAAACAACCATGTGTCTACCATCTAGGATGAAAAGAACATTACTAGTCCCCTGGGCAATATCAAGTACATCTTTCTGTCTTCTACCATCTTGACTTTTGTTTTAATCCATTTTATTTTGTTTTCCTGGTTTTACCACCAGTGTGTCTGTTCCTAAACAGTATAGTGTTCATTCCTGAAAAACTGGAGAATAAGCACCAGTGTCGCTGTACAGGGACAGAAAAGTATTGCCATTATTAGATAAATTGGCCTGAGAGAAAAAAAGTTGAGAACTTCTAGGTCATAGTCTTGGCTTTGGTTATCTGAAAGTTTACAAGGGTCCTTTCTGGTGAAGTCAGTGGGCAAGGTCCTCAACAAGCTTTAAGAAATTCAGGGTACTGTGGGGCCTCTGGGAGAGCTCTGGTGTGGACTTGGTAGTAAGCATCTGGAAGAAATGCAGTCCGAGAGCGGGCTGCCCTGTGGTTCTGCCTCTATGCTCACCACAGCTCTCTCCAACCATCAGAAGCAGGTTTGTTTCGATTTACATGCATGTTCACCTTTCCTTTTCACATCTTCGATGGCCCTCCCGGGATCACCTTCCTTCAGCCTGAAGAAAATCCTTTAGATGAAGGTCTGTTGCTGAGAAAATTTTCTGGTTTTGTTTAGCTGAAATATCTTTATTTCATTCTCAATTCTTGATGAAGGCTGTACCAAAGAAACTATCTTCACTTTTCAGTCATCACCTGTAGTATATCATTCCCCTTTCTCCTGACTTTCAGTGTTGCCGAATAAAAACAAACAAACAGGGGCACCTGGGTGGCTCAGTTGGCTAAGCGCCTGACTTGGGCTCAGGTCATGATCTCACAGTTTGTGAGTTCAAGCCCCATGTCGGGTTGTGTGCTGACAGTTCAGAGCCTGGAGCCTGTTGCAGATTCTGTGTCTCCCTCTCTCTCTGCCTCTCCCCTGCTAATGCTGTCTCTGTTTCTCCCTCAAAAATAAATAAACACTTAAAAAAAAAGTTAAAAAACAAACAAACATAATTGTCATTTCCTATGGGGTCTCTCTTTTTGCTTTGGCTACTTTTAAGATTTATTTTTCTTTGGTGTTTCTGGTTTTTCATATGTCTAAGAACAGATTTATTTTTACATATCGTCATTATGGTCCCTTCTTCCTCCGGAATCTGTGCGTTCGTGAAAATCCTCAGACCATGGTGTAGATACCGTCTCTCCTACGCTGTCTCGATCCACTTCTTCCGTGATCTCAGTTAGATGTATGTTAGACCTCTGTCTGGTCTCAGTAAGCTGACTTTCATGTTTATTTTTGCCTTGTCTCTCTCTGTCATGTTCTCAGAGCCTTCGGTATGTCTGTCTTCCATGAAACTAGTTTTTTTCCCCTTTGGTTGTCTTATCTGCTTCTTCAGCCATCCCCTGGGTGATTGACTTCAGCAGTTGTTTTTATTTCCTTTTGGTCCCTTTCAAATCAGAGTTATTGTCAGTTGTCTCTTGTTGCTTATTCGTCTTTGTGATTCCGTACTTTATCCCTTTAAGGCTTTCATAATAACCCTTCCATATCTAATCATTCCCTTATCTGAAGTCTTGGAAGATCTAAATTTGTTGTTCCTGCCGACTCTCCGGCATGGTGACCTACGTCAGGTGCTTGACAACCTTGGCTTGTGAGCTCACATTTGCCTGATGTTATTTTTTAGAAATCATGCCAGCCCAGATTTGGGGGAAATTTCTTCCAAAGGTTGTTTGATTATGCTTTTGCCAGAAGTCAAGTGGATCCTAGTGCCCTGCAACTCTTATATCCCCTATGAGCATCCTACATTAATGCAAAAATGTCCGGCTCATTTTCCCCACTTTGCTGCAAGACCTCAGGGCAACATCTCCTTTTCTATATATACTGTACCACTTACCTTATCACTACTTTCAGCTCTAGTTTCAGTTCTAGGGTGTCTTTTTTCAAGAGAGAAAATGTCTTTAGGACATCTCTTGCATTATGTAATGCCAGCCTTTCATAAAATATATTTTCGATCCAGCATCTAGTTGTTTTCTAACAAGAAACGTATTCTGGCATTTTACCAGAAACAAAAACCACATCTATTCTTCAAAGTTGCTATTATATATATGTACATACATAAATACTCATTAGCCCATTATTCTACTACATGCCATGTTGTGTGCTCATTTATATATGAATAAGATATTCCCTGTCTTCAAGGACATAAATAATTTCAATATAACATGACAAGAAGTAAGGTAAAGATACCCAAAGTTTTTTTTCTTTCCCCACGTGTACTTTGATGGGGAACAAATGGGGAAGAGATATTCTAAAGTTAAATGGTTAAGGGTAATTGTATTTGAATAAGGCCCTGGATACCAACTTACATAGGATTTGTAAAACTAATAATGATAGTAGTAACATTTATGATGATCTAAGCAGTGTGGTTCCAGAGCCTATGTACTACTATGCAGTGGCACCTTTCTTGAGTCAATGTGAATTCATTTGAAAAATTGAGATGCTGTTTCTTGTGAGAACGAACACAGATTAGTCTTCTTTAAGTTAGCTTTTTAAATATATGTATAAAGTGAAAGGCACAGAGAATTTAAATGAGAAGAAATAGCTGACAATCATAAGGTCACCTACTTTGACATATCTCACTTTTGTTGCAGGATGGGGAAATGGTGCTGCTGGATGGAGGTTGTGAGTCTTCTTGCTATGTGAGTGACATAACCCGGACCTGGCCTGTCAATGGCAGGTAGGACTTCTACAGATCCCACTGCTTCTTAGGAGTATGAGTTGGAATATGGGTATATGAGGAATAAAGGACTAAAGAAATATACTCATCCCCTCTAGCTCAGGTTAACTGCCTTTGCAAAGTACCTGATGACTTTCTAAGACTGCTTTATTTATCATATCACTGGATCAGACACCTAGACACACCTAGTTAACATACCCAATTAACATTCACATTTTTAAAAAATAAATTTGAAGAGTGCCTGCCTGGCTCAGTCAGTAGAACATACAACTCTTGGTCTCAGTGTTGCAAGTTTGAGCCCCACACTGGGTGTGGAGATTACTTAAAAATAGAATCTTTAAAAAAAAAATTAAGGGGCACCTGAGTGGCTCAGTGGATTAAGCATCCGACTCTTGATTTTGGCTCAGGTCACAGTCTCACAGTTCATGAGATCAAGCCCTGTGTTGGGCTCTGTGCTGACAGTGCAGAGCCTGCTTGAGAGTCTTGCTTTCTCTCTGTCTATTCCTGCCTCTCCCCGCCTCTCCCCCACTTGCACTCACACCCTCTCAATATAAATAAACATTTTTTTTCATTAAAAAAATTTTTTTATGTCTATCACTGAGAGAGAGAGTGAGGGAGGGGCAGGGAGAGAGGGAGACACAGAATCTGAAGCAGGCTCCAGGCTCCAAGCTGTCAGCACAGAGCCCGACGTGGCACTCAAACTCACAAGCCGTGAGATCAGACCTGAGCTGAAGTCAGACACTTAACCAACTGAGCCCCAGGAGCCACTAAATAAAC